TGGAATGCCCAGAGAAGGTCCCTGAAGCCCAGCCTGCCCTGTTCTCCTGCCTGGTATAGCAGACTATGGACAGGAAATGGCCTGGCGTACCCAAGGCTGAGGACAGAAGCCTCAAGAGATCTCAGCAGAGTCTACAGGAAGGCCCAGGCTGGACCAGCTGCCTGCACCTCCCCACTGGCCTGCACGTGGATGTGGAGAGGAAAGCCTCCAGGCTGAGCCCTCCACCCCGAGATCTGAGCAGTCTGAACATATTGGACAGCGGCCCTGAAGACAGGAAACATCCCACCTCCAGGTTCCCTAAGGTCTCCTCCTCATCCACCAGCCCTGCTGCCCCCAGTGGCCCAGCATGCCCAGAAGTATAGGGAGGTAAAGAAGTCATGTGTGAATCATGAAGCTCTCTTCATTTATTTAGCATGAGAATGGGGAAGAAGAGGACTGTGAGGTCACAGACGTGTCTGCACGAGGAAGTGTCCAAAGCTGGTATTATCCACTAGGCCCTTGCTCTGCCAGGAAGTCTTTCTGCAAGGGGCAACCAGCTCACAGATGCCAATCACAAAAAAGTCATGACTGCCCCTTTCTTGCCAATCTGCCAGGGCTCCAGGGGTAAAAAGCGGATAATGATCCTGGAACGCGGTTGGGCCACAAGTCCAAAGGTCATAATCTCTGGACATACCCCGAATTCCTTCTGAGCAGCCGGTCCTGGCCCAAGGCCAGCTCCTTGGTGAGGAACTCGAAGAGGCGAGCGCTGTGGCCTCGGTTCTCCTCCGCTGTGCCCACCACGCCGATGGAGGAGACGAGCAGCTGCGCGCAGGGCTCCGTGGAGCCGTTCAGCGCCATGGACAGGCCCAGCCGCACCGTCACGTTCACGCGGTCCTCAGGTTTGCCCAGGATGGTGGCGGTGGCCGCGCAGAGACGTTTCTCCAGCCCCGCGGGCACGCGATCGGCGGGCAAGTTCGTGTCCAGCTCAACGAAAGGCATGTCCGGCAGGAGCGCTGGCAGCGGCGGCGAAGGAAGAAGGAGCGGAGCGTGGCCGTGGGGACCCAAGGGTCCGGGACTCTGATTACCGTTTCTTTACCAATTACAGCTTTAGCCTCAGACTACTCTGCCCTCCTTCTAAATAAGACTTATTAAGATATCTAACTTTAAGAATTACCGCTCCTTCCTGACAGCATCCAATTCAGAGCAAAGCTCTCCTTCCTTAAAACACTCCCCCAAACCACCAAACACAAGCTCTTTCTAATACCCTCTTACTGAGATGCCCCATGGTTCCCCATGGTATACATTCTCCCTTGCTGTAACCAATAATAAGCCCAACCACAAGTGTGTTCCTGGTGGTCTTTGTCTAGAGGACATTGACATTGGAGAATCCAGCACAAATCAACAGCTGGAGACAACTCACTTGTCAGGACACTTAAATTAGACCTGTTTCTCTGGGGTGAATTTATATTAGCCACAGACACAGAAACTGATGGAAAGGTAAAATTACTAATTTATTAATTTATAAAAAGAAAGAAAACCCCAAAAGAGTCAGAAAAGGCAAATGTAGAGAACCAGAAAATAGATCAGTGGTTTTCTGGAGCGTGGGCGTGGAAAAGGGAATTAAATGTTAAAGGGCATGAGAAATCTTATTGGGTTGATGGGAATGTTCTAAAACTGTGGTGATGGCTGCACAACTCAGTAAATATACTAAAAATCAGTGATATGAACATTTAAAATGAGAAAATTGCATGGTATATACCTTAATAAAGTTGTTAAAACAGCAATGATAATCCCAGTGGAGACCAGCTACTTAAATCCAGTGGGCAAATATTCTCCCTCTGTAGATAGCCAGTGGTCAAAAAACTTGAAAACATGTCTAATCTCATTACTCATAAAGAAATTACAAATTAAAACCTCAATGAGATACATCTGTAGAAGCAGCAGAATGGCTAAAGTTTTAAAAAATGACAATACCAAGTGCTGACAAGGATGTGGAACAACCAGGGAGTGTAAATTTGTGGAAAATTGTTTGGCACACATATTCTGTAACCTAGAAATTCCACTTCTAGCTCTAAATGCCAACATACATTCACCAAAAAAAGTGTTCACTGAAACAGTACTCCAATGTCCATCTACAGTAGGATGGATAAAGAAATGAGAGTATAGTACTGTAATAGAACACTACACTGTAAGGAAACAAATTACTATTAAACACAACATGTATCAATCTTACAAATATGATATTAAGTAAAAGAAGTTACACAACAAGAACACTTGTATGACTCCATTTATATAAAGTTCAAAAACAGGCAAAACTAATCTGGAATATGAGAAGTCAAGAGAGTAGTTAGTTACCTTGTGGGAGTTAGGAGGAAGTAGGGTGTGGCTTCTGCAATGCTAGCACGTTTGCATCTTGATCTGGGTGGTGGTTATCTGGGTGCATCATTTTGTAACAATTCATAGAGCTGTACGCTATGATCCATATACTTTTCCCTATGTATGTTATACTTCAAAAAAATTTCTTAAAATATGTATCATTATGGTGAATAAGTTGATAATCATTGAAATTAGGTGTTGGATACATGGAAGTTGCTTATACCATTATCTCTTCTTTCATGCATTTGAAATTTTCTATGATAAATAAAAACTCATATATACACACATATGTTTGTGTATATCTGTATGCATATATGTGTACATATATAGGTATGAGTATATATATGTATATTTATTTGTAAATGTTTGAGTTGCTTCTTGTCCTGCCAATCTATTCAAAAGTGAACAAGACTTCTCAGAGACCATAGCAATATGCATAGAGCCATGTGATTCTTTTATACCATGTTGATTTGTAAATAAACATGTAAAGTCAGTGTGCTTAGATAGTATTAAGCAACAAAAGCAATATATCTAATATGTAAAATGACAATCTGAACATTTTCATGCATGTATTAATAC